CCCCCCCCCGCTTTACAGTCTGATGAGGAGCTGGATGAGGAGGAGGAAGAGGATCCCGCAGCAAAGCGAAAGGCGGAGAGAGATGCGCAGCTCAAGGCGGACGTCGATAATGCGGCCAATTTGCTAGGCGTGACAAAGGTATCCGGTGCCACCTCTTCGGGTGCCGACGCTAGCCAACTGGGCTCGCTCAAGCGCGCCAAGCCAAATACAAAGGAGGAGTGGGAGCAGCACGCTTTGGAAATCTTCAGCCAGCTCGTCAAGCCTTTGAGCTCTAGACCGGGCTACGACAAGCACTTTGTGCCGGCCCTTTGCAACGCTCTGGGTGGTCCGGACGCTGGTCTGAGGGATGTGGACATGAGAAAGCTGGGCAACAGGTGGAGAGAGCTGGCAGAGGAGAAGGTCAAGTGGGACAAGGAGAGCAAAAAGCTGGGAGGAAGGAAGCCGGCGGCTGCTGCTGCTACTGCTGCCAAGGCCAAGCCAAAGACTGTGGGCACATCCAGCGCAAAGAATGTGTGAGTGATGTCGACTGTAGCGAGACTTTCTGGACGTCAGAAGCGCTGCAAAGAGTCGGGGGAAGGCGAAGACGAAGGCGCTGCTGAATCTCATGGCCCTCTTCGCACATCTGACACGCCCTCGCCCGGTCTTGTTCCCACAGCATCGATACGAGAGCATACGGCGACGAGGCGCTGGATGATGGAGACGACTTGGACTTTATGTGATCGCTTGGGCGCGCCAGGGATATGAGCAGGATGCGAAGGGATGGGGTCACCCTAGAGGCTCATGCACGGGCGTTTACGGGGCCAAGACTACACACCTCAGCTGGTGTATACCAATGTCTTTGTTCTTTCGCAAGCTTATTCCTGCCGCATGTATGCTAGCAAAAAGGTTGAAGCGGCGGCGGTGCCAATAGTCATTTTTGCAGCTCGACGATGCGATCAGCCATCATATCCCGCAACTCGTCCCTCTTGCGACTTGTGCTCGTGCTCGCTAGACGTCGAGTCGAACGCGTCGCTGCGGTAGCTGCTTGGTCTAGGCAAGGGATGGGAAGGCTACTCGACAGGACCGAAAATAGATGCCGAGCTGTTTACTCCTTGCCGCGCAGAAGAAGGCCCATAGTTTACGGCCTCGTGTCACGCTCTGCTGCGCCCGGTGTTGCCATGACTTTTGCAGGCAATCACCTCGTTCGATCATTCAAGATTGGGCTTCGGGGTTCGTCTGCTGCGTGAAGCGAGAACAGGTCGATGTGAGTGAAAGGCGAGATTTTCATTTGGACATTCAAATTATGATTTTGTTTGTAAGTGAGATATCACGAGACCCCCAATCAAATGCGAGGTCCCGCGAACGCCCAAGGCAGAGAAAAGTGCCATTCATTTGATTCACCATTCGTGATTTTTAAAATCGCCCACAGCAGAGGCGAGGCGCAGTTTTCACGTTCTTAGCGTCGAGCGAGTGATCGATGGCTTCGTGGTGCATGCTGGGTGCGGGAATAGGCGGGCGGGCGTGTCTACTGTATCTGCAGCGTGTGCTGTACGGTACGGCGGTGCGGCGCACGACGTTTTCTTGTCACCCACCCACCGCCTGCTGCTGCATCGCATGCCTGCAGGGCGACAATGAAGCCGAAGCCGATCAGCGCGCGCGCGCGCGTTTACCCAAGCAAGCAAGCCATGCTGCATGTGCGGCAGGCAGCACATGCAGCACATGCAGCAGCAGCAGCAGCAGCAGCAGCAGACGCTCGCGGCGAAGAGGAAGAAGATCGACGATGACAACAGCAACAAAGAGAATCAAATCATCAGAATCGCGAAGCGTGAATCAATAAGGGTTGCGCGTCTCGACGCACTCACGTCATGGCCAAGACTCACGACTCATATGGCACTCGATCCACTCACCTAACTTCACGCTTCACTAGCAACTCTATTGTCGCTGTCCACGTGCACTCTACTCTACAACGTCTTGCTCTTCGCCAGCCAGCCAGCCAGCCAGCCAGCCAGACCGCCCGAGCCCGAGCCTTGGCACAACATCGGCGCACTTTGCACTCCATCCATCCCTTGGATTGCAAACAATCGGCAAGGCAGCCGAATATCGACGGGTTGCTGTACGAAAGAAGCCAACGCTGGAGTGGAGCTTTTAATTGCAAGGGTCAGAGCCAGCCAGCATCTCTGCGTCCACCTTGGCCGTCTCTCGAGTCACGAGTGTGTATGCAGCACGCCAGACCAGCCACAACAGTCCTTATTCGCTTCTCTGGCCAGGCAGTCGCTCCCCGCTCGCACAATGCAAGCCGACCCTGGAGCGGGGCCGAGTAGAGCGACGAGTTGGTCGTCGTCATCGTCATCGTCTGCGTCGTCCTCGTCGTCCTCGTCGTCCTCGTCATCATCATCATCACCATCAGCTCCGGGCAGCGCATCCTCTCGATCTGCTCATGCTTTCTGGGTCCGATCGCCCCTAGAGCGCGGCTTGTTGCGAGAACCTTCATCCGATGCTCATCCCACCTCTGCATCTTCCTCTGCAACCGACCAGCGCAAACACCGAGGGGTCAATCTCAAAGCCCAGGAGCGCGAGTATGCCGGTAGTGAGAGCGATGGCCATGGAAGGAGCGCACTGAGGGATCAAGGCACAGTGGAGGGTTTGACCAAGGTGTACAGAACCACGACCGCTTGGATAGCAGGCAGGAAATTGGACAAGCGAGAGGTGGATGAGCTGCTGTTCAGTGAGTGGTTCGACTTCGGACGAGCACCGCAAGAGGTGCGATGGATGGCCATGTTGGGAGAGCGCATACAAGCTGCCTTCCAGGCGAGTCTGGCTAGGCGGTTGGCCTCTCGCAAACCCCCCGCTGGCGAAATGGCGCCTCGCTGGGCTTTGCGTGATCTGTCATGTCGACCCGTCCTCGTGCCTTGCACGGCATCCAAGCAAGCTCACGCTGAGCCTGACGCGCTTCTCGCTCCACCCCCGCGCACACTCGCAGGATATCGGACAGTGGCATCCGCCGGCACCGCTTCCCTGGTCAGCACAGCAGCCGCTTTCCCTGTGAGTGGAGCATAGAATTACAACCGAGACTCTCCGAATGGCGTCTCGAATCGTCTCGCTCTTTGCTTAGACGGCTGCAGAGCGACCAAGGGGGGTGCGTGC